CCCACAGCATGGCTGGGGAATTCTGGGAGTTGAAGTCCACATGTCTTAAAGCGGCCAAGGTTGAGAAACGCTGGTCTGGACAGAGCCACATCTCGGAGCTGGAAGGTTTCAGGTTCCGTCCAACAGGGTCAGGAAGGCCCCCTCCCCCCCTTGCTCCGTGCAACCGCCCTGCTTGGTCTCTGGAGGCCTGTGGGCAGCTCCCCGCCTAGGCAGACAAATGGCACACCTTCCTTTGTTCTGTTGCCACAAGAGAAGAAGAGAAACAGGGGACAGTTAGTCAACCTCTCTCCAAAAGGCAGACATATAGGAGGGTATAATAGAGTACTCTTGTATATGTGTACAATAGAGATTTTCTTTCCCTTCCTCTCCCTCCCAGTAGTGCCGTCTTGGAGTTCCTGTTCTAAAGATTTCTTGTGTGACTCTCTTATCTTTGAGGAGCAACAGGTAGTCTAATGGTGAAAACTGCTTTTTAAATAGATATAGATATTATATACATGCACCCAGTGTTTCCATGGGACAGATTATGTACATTTTACAGCTGTTTGCTGCAAGGGAGTTTTCATGTGATACAGAATGCTGGTTGGGCTAGTTCCTGGCCTGATTTAGTAGCCCTCTTCTTGGCCGTGTTCATCCCATGTGCTTCTCCATGGTAAACTGGATCATGGCACTCTCTGCTCAGTTTTCTGGGGTCACGCCACAGTTGACTAGTTTGTAGGTTACTGTGTCATGTAAATGCAGTCTACAAAAGGGATATCCTTTTGCTGCATTTTAAATGAGGGAAGCGACCTGTCAGTTTAGCAAGCTTATTGTCTCATTTGCTGATGTGGAGGGGAAGGTGTAGGAAAATTACTGGAGCTCGGAGTGTGTGCTCATCTCTTTGAGGTTATGTGACCTTGTCTTGTTTGACTTACTTGGACTGGGTGCAACTGAGTGAAAAGCTGCCATGTTTGCTCACCAAATTTCTGAGCAGGTACACAAACATTATCAGTACGTGTACTATCTGCACACCTAGTTCTGAATTAAAATAGAGTTGAGCCAGTGATTTATTTAATTATTTAATTTATATGCCTGCGATCCTTTTTCAGTAAGTACTACCATTTTTAAAATGTCTGAGGAGGGTATTTTCAGTTTGAGATGGCTGTGCATTTACAGCAGAGTACTCTGATGTGACTTCAGGTAACAGAAGAGGACATGTCCTGCTCCAAGGAGTTGACAGTTTATCAAGACAGTACTTTATTTGACTTTGAAGTCATTCAGAAATAATGCTATTGTTGTGTAGGAATTATAACCCAGTAGTAAATACATTCGTTTTGATAATAATTTGGTATATGTATAACTTGATCCAGTTCATCCTTACTCAGAATAAGTCCAGCAATGTTCACTTTATATTTGTTCCCTGTTATGGACATTCTTGCATTGAATTAAGTAGATAAGTGAGTAATTGATCTTTGTCCAACCTTCATCTTTGCTGTACAATTGGTTTCTAAATCAGTTGTTCTTACCCCCAAATATATTTTCCAAACAGTAGTGGGGAAAAATGCAAAACAAGACTTGCTTTCTCCTATACTGAGCACTCTGTAGGGTCATCCTGGCAGCTTGCCTTTATTAGATGGAGAAAATACTTAAGCAAGATAAATGTTATCATGGTCAAGTTTTGCAAAAGTTACAGAGTACCTCATACTGAATCCAAAACCTGTCATCTCAGCAAATAAAGCCACAAGATGAACTAGTGCAGAGTCAACTATGAGACATTCCTGCAGTGAAAAATGTATAGTAGCTCAGTCTTTTCATTACAGAAAAGCTACTGCCGTTGACACTCCAGATAAGAGTTTTTCTTCTTAGTTTTGAGATCAGCATTTTCAGGGATGGGAAAACACCCCAACTGTTTCTTAAAGATTGATGCTCATAATTTGGAACTGAAACCCTGGTGCTTAAAATTAGGGATATAGTGAAAAATGGGTGCTGCTCTGCCTTGTATGTCGTTACTTCCCTTATGAGTGCATTTGTTCCTTCCAGGTGCAGAACTCTTTCTACTGAAGCTTTTGAAAAGGGTTGGTGGATGTGACTGGACCAGTGAGATGCTCTTGAGCAGGAATTCTACTTTGTGTGGCCCTCCTCTGTTAGGCCTGCCATGACAGCATTCTTCACCAGCGTCCCAAACTGGATTCAAGATGCAAAGCAGGAGGAGGAGGAGGTGGGCTGGAAACTAGTGCCCAGACCCAAAGCTCGAGAGAGTGAGAGCCAAGGAAGATGCCAGTATGAGCTATCTGAAGCATCCTTCCCTGGTGTGGATAAATTGAGAGCCAGCCCAGAACAGAGGCCATACTGCTGCCCTCAGCTGCACTGTGGCAAGGCCTTTGCCTCCAAGTACAAGCTCTACAGGTATGCAATGTAACCGGGGGGGTAGCTTAAGACTGGACCTATTATATAGCTATATAGCTCACTTGGTTTCAGGGGAAGGAGGGGACGCGCTGCTGTCTTGAGCAGGTTGGCAGGAAGGGTAAGATGCGTTTAATGACTAGCCTGTTATAGCTTGTTCTGACAGTCATTAATCACCCGGGAGCAAGATGGGCACTTCAGAAAAGCGGACCCAAATTCCTGCCTCACTTTTGCAGTACAGTATTCTTCCCTGAAATGTTAAGTTTTTGGAGTTGCAAAACTAAAGCTCAATTCTGGGGAAGTGTCAGAACGTGAAAGGTGAATATATGGGAACGTTTCTCTGTTGGCTAGCCAGGGATGCAAGATGGAAGAAAGATTGCATATGGCTGCTTGTTTGGGAAGAGCAGGGGACTTGAATGAGATTCATTCTGACTTTTCTTTGGTTTCACGTTTCACAGCAGAGTGGGAACCTCAGCCTGCCCTGGTTTTGTAGTGTATGTTTGGGACAAAGCAATAAAACATTTGCAATCTTTGTTTCTTTTTCTGAAAAGGCACCTGGCTACGCACTCTGCCCAGAAGCCCCACCAATGCATGTACTGTGAGAAAATGTTCCACCGGAAGGACCACCTTCGTAACCACCTTCAGACCCACGACCCTAACAAAGAAGCTCTCCATTGTCCAGAGTGTGGCAAGAACTACAACACCAAGCTTGGCTACCGGCGTCACCTGGCCATGCATGCAGCTGCCAGTGGGGACCTCAGCTGCAAAGTGTGCTTGCAGATGTTTGAGAGCACCCAGGTCCTGCTGGAGCACCTCAAGGCTCACTCCCGGAGGCCATCGGGCAGCGTGAAGGAAAAGAAACATCCCTGTGACCACTGCGATCGGCGCTTCTACACCCGCAAAGATGTGCGGCGGCACCTAGTGGTGCACACGGGCCGGAAGGATTTCTTGTGCCAGTACTGTGCCCAGCGGTTTGGCCGTAAAGACCACCTGACCAGACATATGAAGAAGAGCCACTCCCAAGAACTGCTGAAGATCAAGGCAGAACCCGTGGACATGCTGGGTCTTCTGAGCTGCAGTTCGACAGTGGCGGTGAAGGAGGAGCTGAGTCCCGTCTTGTGCATGGCGTCCCGGGATGTGATGAGCAGCAAGAGCTTTCCTGGGATGCTTCCCATGGGCATGTATGGGGCACACGTCCCAGCTATGCCCAGCTCAGGGATGCCCCACTCACTAGTCCCCAACCCTCTTCCAATGGGCATGAGCTATCCTCTGGAATCATCTTCCCCTCCACAGCCTCCCCCAAAGTACCAGCTTGGATCTACCTCATACTTCCCAGACAAAGTACCCAAGACGGAGGTGGACAGCTGCGTGGCAGAGCTCCCTGGAGGCCTTTCGCTGGTAGCTGGTGAGCCGTCCTCCTCCTCGCCTCAGCCGGCTTCCCTGGAGGAGACGCTACTCTCCAAGAGCCCCGCTCTCCTTTCTGAAGCTCTCTGTGCTGCTAACATGGACTTTTCCCACCTCCTGGGCTTTCTTCCCTTGAACCTTCCATCGTGCAACCCTCCTGTCTCCTCGGGGGGGCTAGTTATGGGTTATTCCCAGGGGGAGACCCAGTCCCTCCTCACCACCTTGCCACCACAGGAGTCGTCATCAGGAACCACGGCCTCCCTCGGCTTTGGAGCGCTTCACCCATTGCCCTCGGTGTTTTCCCCAGGCCTGGGTGCCACCACTTTGCCACGTTTCCACCAAGCATTCCAGTGAGAGAGCTGGACAAGCAGAGCTGCTCTGGGCGCATGGATAGGGGACTGCAAACGTGCTCAGATTCGCTGTCTTTCCAGCTTTGGGCTGTGGAAAGCTTCAGGAAGGACTGGAACTGCCCCGTACATTTCAATGTATGCCCCAGTCCTGGACAGGGAATAGGTTGCAGTGAATAGAATTTCAGGTATTTTTCTTTTTACATTGCTGGCAGTCAGGAGCCGTGTATCCTGCTGAGACTTAGGAGGAGCTTAAGTCAGGGTCTCTTTCAAATTAGGGCCCAACACATATTCTGCAGTTCTGTGTCACTTGGTCCATGCGGCAGGAGCTCCCCTTTCTGCCCCCGCCCTCGCCCCCACTACTTCTGGTGGTTATTCCCTTGATGCTGAGCGTGTGGTGTGAGTGCAAATCAAACTCTTCCTTTGGAGCCGTTTCCTTATGATGTATTCCTGCAGAATCATGTTTACTCAATCATTTCCCACTATTACAAATCAGGTAGTGCCACAAACACAGTCAGTGTTTCTGGCACAGCTAATACACTGTTTACACAGTGAAATCAGATAGCTCTGGTTTCACCTCACGACTACTTCCATTTCTTCCCCTGTGGGGAAAATAAACTGACTTGGAATAGCTTCAGCTTTTGCCAGTTTAGTTTAGCACTCTAGGTGTGTGTTTGTTGTTTTTCCAAATTTCTGAACAGGTCAGAAGGATCCTCCGATATAACAGGTTAACTGATTTTCTGCATTTGAGAGGCTTTCCCGAAGGACGTAAGGGCGTAGCGATAGCGGCCCTCAGCGGTGGACTGTTCATTAAAGGTCATCCCCATTCTTACTGGGACTTACTGTTCAGCAGCGAGGCCCGTCGTTCTGTCCGGGTGAGGTTTTTTTTTCATCTCCTTGGCTGTTCCGACACAAGCAGGCTCACTGAGGGGTGATGGTGTTTGGCCTTTTGGCCTCAAGGAAATGTTTGTTTCAGCTTCCTGGGGCCTTTAGTCACCTTTGCTTTTAACCGGCAGCACCCACTCCCCCTGAGCCCACCCACAGCACGCAGCGCACCAACCTTAGAGGAAGGGAGGGTGGGACAGATGCACAGGGCTCAGCTGAGGTGAGGCAGCCTGCCTTTTCTGCTGATTAAGCAACACCGAGGTCCCTTGCTTCTTAGGGGGAGCTCAGTAACCTTTGGGGGTGGGAAGGGTAACCCAACGGTGTCATGTTTTCATGCCCCATTCCTGCAGGGTTGGTTGGCCTCGAAGCTCCATAGCTCTGATGCTCCCCTCTCTCCCTGCAAGGTGCTGAGGGCTGGTGTCCCAGCGTGAGCTCCGTACTTGAGCAGCACAGAGCAAAAGTAAAATGAAGATAGCAGCCTGCAACATTTGCTTCCGTCAGGAAAGTAAACTAAAGCAACAGGAGAAGCAGTGAGACTGTAGAGCAGCGTTTCTCAACCTTGGCAACTTGAAGATGGGTGGATTCCAACTCCCAGAATTCCCCAGCCAGGTTGAGAGACGCTGCTGTGGAGACTTCCTCTTGTCTGAAGCATTTGGCTGCACCAGGTGCCGTTCCTTGTCGGCTTGTGTCTTAGCTTAAGTTATGGGAGATTTGGAGTGGGCTGAACCTTTGCAGGAGAGCTGGGTCCTCCGGTGCTTATCCCAGAGTGGCTGCCCAGCGTCTGCTTCTCCTTCCTTCACTTGCAGGCTGCTTGGCATTTCACCTTCCTCTTCGTTCAGAGGCGGATGGTGTTTGAAAGGTCGGAGGCTGCAGTTCCGTCTCCCGATCTTCCCAAGGGCTACAGAATGGCACTCCGAAGGGATGGGGGGATTAGCCCTATTTTTAGGGAGGAAGGACAAGAATGGGAGTAGGAGTAGGAGGTGAGCCCCCAGTCCCCCCTAAGAATGTCCATGGGGGATTAAATATGGGATTAAAGTGACTCTCAAGGGCGTCATATTCCCATTCCCGTTCTCACCCTTAACTCCCCCTTCCAAAAAAATCCACAGGGATACTGGGGGCTCTCCTGGCTACCTCCCTCTGTCCTACTTCCCCCTACATTCTCCAGCTTCTTCTCAGCCACCTGGGTGGACTGTGCTGTATGTATTACAGTGAATACCTCATGATACCTTTTCTCTGCTCTTGTGTTATTACCCTCCTCGCGCCCTCCCCCCACCCCCACCCCGTGGCTGCCTGCAGCCTCATTCGGAGTCAGTCCACCTGCATGCGTTTCAGGGTATCTCCATGGGCCCCTTCCTTTTACCTCACACGCAGGGGGCTGAGCTACGGGGTCGGCTACAGGTGTCTTACCTGCCCAGGTATGTTTAGGCTATCTCTGCAATAATTTCTCTGGTGCGTTTTTTGGTCTCTCTGAATGCCTGTCCTTAGCAGATGCTTTAAAAAATGTGTCGTAATTCCAGATTGCTTTTAAAATCTTGTGTCCATCCCTACCAACTTCCAATATTTGCTATTTCATATACAGCGTCCCTTCTGTCATGGGCATAGGCCTTACAGGCTGGGCATAGACAGCCTATCTCTCTTTGTGTTCTTCATTATCTGTTTAAGGTTTTGCATAATACTTACCTCAGCAGTTGTGCGTGGCACTGAGTTCCACAAGCCATGCTTCCTGATCTTCCTTGTAAGACGTTGCCTTTCTTATTTCAGTGTGTGCCTTGCACTGGGTAAATTGGAGAGTGCCTGGGCTTCTCCTGATGATTCAGTATTTTTAAATACCTCGGTTGCATTTCCTGTTACTCTCTTTTCAGAAATAGTTGCACATTCTCCTCTTATGCAATCTTCATCACATCTCTACCTCGAAACCTATGAAAAAATTCCACACTTCAGTTTCTTCAGGATGGCATTTGACATAGAGCTGATTCAAGAGATCATATTTGCTGAGTTGGCTTCATTTGCAGCTTTCGGCAGCTGCTGTCTCTTCCGTTGCTTTCAGCTTTATAGTTTAGCGAATGTTATGTACAAGAGAGTGTTCCAGGTCATAAACCTTCCTCTGCTGGAGTTGCTTGTCCCTTTGTTTCATCATCCAACCAAAGATATAGGATTTTAACAAAAGCCAGAGCATTTTTGGACTGCAGACTTGACATTCCTATTGTATCAAAAGATGACTCTGTTAAAAGTTAGAAAGGGGAGAGTGGGTTTATTTCGGCCATAGATTCAACATGGATGCTGAAGCAGCAGCGGTAGGTTAGATTAGTAGTTTGTTCAGCCTGATTTTCTGCAGACCAAACCTGCCCGCTGCTGCTCAGACGGTATTGCAGTAAACAGTGGCGTTCAGTAAAAAAGTGATACGAGAAAAGGCAGGGGAGATTTGGCTTCAGTCGTCTTGCCAGCGAAAGAGCTGTAAGATCAAATGTCCATACGCAGCACTGATCCACTCCCTCTCCAAATCCGGGCAGTAGCTTTCCAAAGAAAGGTGGTGGTGCTGTAGATTGGCCGTTGCCCACAAAAGATATTTTTGGTTTTGGTTTTTCTGTGGCGTTATGGTCAATGAAAAGGAAGCTTGTTTTGTGCTTTGGGGGAGTACCTAAAAGGGTACTTATCCACGTAGCTACAGTTGTAGCCTTTTAAAGAATAGAGGGTATAAAGTTGTGCCTCACAAATCCAGGAATGTCTTGTTGCTTGTCTTTTGCTGACAGTGGTCCTCGGTGAGGTAAGGGCTTCCATGAACTGGCCGGTCTCCTACTATAGAAAATAAACTGGTTCTTTCAATCGCAGTATTGAAGAAGCAGGATGGGGGAAAATGGAGTGATGATTCTCAATAGTGGGGGAAAGGCAGTTGCTGTTGTAGACGGCTCTCAGTCCTGAACCAAAGTCGTCCTGGTTTGCAGGGAAGGGGAGAGGTTGCGTGACTTGCAAGTTTCACCCTGGAGTAAAATTGACCAGACCTGAAGCCAAATGGCCTGGTCAGTTTCACTGCTGGCTAATGAGCACTTAAAAGGGAATTGACAGAGCCTCCCCAGGCCAGAGCTGGTGCTGCCGTGGAACGGAGGGAGACGCCCTTCTCTGCGCTCTTCAGAGAAGTAGTTTGTACATGGCCTCAGATATTTGGGGCATGTGAAAAATTGGAAAGCTTGAGGACCTTGCCTTGCAACTTGTTAATATTTCCTTTTGGTGATGGGTTTATGTATTAATCTATTTCCAGACATTATCACATAATGGCAAGTAAACCAACACTGTGCCATTAAGTGGGTGGAGCGGAAAAAATTGTGTTAAACTCTGGGTCAGTTGGTAATGAACTGGCCTTTAATTGTGCTTTCCAAACGGCCAGGTTTTTTAAAATTCTTAAGCCACGTCCTTGCGCTCGCTCCTAAGTGTAGTCTCTTCTTCATTTATGTAGGATTTGTTTTCCTGTGATGTGTTTATCTTTACTGAACTATTTGCACAAGATGGCAAAAAAAGGTCTTTTCCTCTCCTCTTCCTCACAAAGAGGAGGACGGTACCTTCATTTTTCCCAGGCTCCTAGAGCTGACGACTGATAACTCACAACGAGGGGATCCCATCCATGCCCTGGAAGATGCGATAGGATCAGACCTTTAGGGAAAGGTCTCGGCTGTGCTCAATGCCAGCTCTTGCCGCACGAAAGCTGGTAACAGGAAGGTGACTTTAAGGCATAGTCAAGGGGAATGATGTAAGATGCTTCAGTTGCCTTTTCTTCTCACTAATCCCATCTCCTCCTCTCTGCCTTTTAACCTTTTTATTAAGGAAAGTCGTCCCTTAGCCTTCGGTGCCAGGCTTAGCTCATGCCCTCCTCCGTCTGTACTTCCTGAAGTGTTTTTTGTTTTTTTCCTCCAGTTTTGCTTCATCAGCTGCTGGTTTTGCTGTACGAGCCTTGCCGCTCTTCCTTTTGCAAAGCTCAATCACGGGAACGACATTTTAGGCTTCTTATTTTTAGACCGAGTCATTTCTTCCCGTTCTCTTAGCAGTAAGTTGAGTGATTTTGTTTTGCCAGTTTTGTTTGGATCTGTTTTCAATGTATATAGTGAATCTATCAGATTATTTGTACCTTCTCTTTAACTGGCTAAACTCTTGTGATTTTTTTCTCCCCCTGAGAGAACAAGTTACTCAGGATTTGAGAGCAAAACCTACTGTGTGCTCCCGTCCCCAGAATCCTCCATCCTCCCTTTCTGTATCCAGAATATGCCTCGGTTTATTTTCTTGCCATATTCAAGGGGTTACCCATCCCTAGAAAAACATTCTGAATTCTTCCCTCACCGCCAGTGGGATTAATTTTAATTTCCCCATTAGAAAGAGGCCACGCGTAGTCCTAACTTTTTAGAGTAATCTATGGGAATCAGTACTTAAACAGAAAATATCCCCATTAAGGTGAATTGTTTTAAGTAAACTCTGTAGTAAGAGACCACCGTTCTCTGTATTTGCTGTTTGTTCTCCTCATCTGCCTCCTATAAGCTTGGGGGAGACTTCTTTTATTTGACCCCTCTGTAATTCTGGTTTGTTTAAAGACTTTCTGCATTTGATGGTATGGGGAATATAAACTTATTTTGGATTACAGGTCCCATTGTCCCCTTATCCTTGGGCATGGAAGCTAAGGCTGATAGAAGTTAAAATCCAAAATAGCTGAAAAGTCATCACGTCCTCTGCCTCTGTGGTATGCTCACAGCTAGTCCATGAACCAATACAGAATGTTCCCTCTCCTGTTTGCATGTTTTGTGTTAACAAATCCAACTTCCCACAATTATTTATGAAATTAGCAACATTGGGACTTCGTCACAAGATGCCAGTCAAGAATGGGAGTGGGGGGGGGAACAACACACATTTGCAGCCCAAAGAAACAGTGTATGTTCTCCCCCCCACACACACTTTAGATAAGCTGAAGTGAAAACTATTTCCTGCCCAATTTTAGGGTTTGCCCTCAAGTCTCCCTCGTTAAATTTCTGAGAGTTGTGGTTTGGGTTAAAAAAAAAAAAATACTGATGTGGCATGTTCAACGATATTCTTCTCCCACATGCCTGCAGCATGTGAAAACGTTTCTTGCTGGGCCTAACCCGGAAGTGAGGGGATTGCCAAGGGACAGGGATGACAGCAATGCAAATATGGGAGGGTGTTGCATAATGGTCCCCCCCCCCCCCAAAAAAGCCCTCAAAACCCTAAATCTCAGAGGTTATGAACTTCCTCTAGGTTGGCCTGTGTTCAGGCCAGCTGGCCTCTTCTATTCCTGCAGAATGATGATCGCGTATCATACGTCTCTACCGGTGCAGAGAGGAGAACGGAGAAAGCCGGTCAGGCAGGACAACCGTCTCACCTCGATTTGAACAGCAACTAGGAATTTGGTCCTTCACGTCACTCTCCCTGCAATGGCTGCTTGTTCCTCCGAGCAGCAAAGGCCAGTCACTTACACCAGTGTTTTTCAACCTTTGCCACTTTTTGATTTGTTGGATTTTAATTTCACAAATATTTCCCCACAGCTTTTTTTTCCCCTT